CTGGCCCTGCAGCGCCCTTGGCCTCGTCTGCCCCCGCGCCGGGCTCGGTCGCCGCCCGGCAAGGTTCCGTGAGCTTCCCGGGGCCTGCCGGCGGCCTTCTCGCGGCGAGCGCGAACACGGAAAATACAGCCGGGGACGCCGCTCAAGGGCGTTCGCTGAGGGAGCGCTCGGATCTGGAGGCAGCCCGCCGGAGGGGGACGGTGCTGAGGGCGCTTTTGGGAGCGAGTAGCAAATCTTGAACAGAGAAATCCCTTTTCCCCAAAGTACTTGTGAATACGTGGATTTAAATATTGACTCTCTGTTGCCTCTCTCAACGGCTGTATTTATCATATGTTCCACTACTGAAGTATTGCTATGTGGCAAGTTTTTGTTTGGTTTGTTGGGTTTTTTTCCCTAGGTGTGCAATAGCTTTGTGGGTTTTTTTTTTAAGCGGAAACAGCTCTGCGCTGTGAATTTGTAGAATTCAGTCTCCCCAGATCTCTAATCTCTAATGAAAAAGTAAATAAAGGTCAAATATTCTCTTCCTGACTTCCATTTACAGGTTGACACTACAGCTGTAAAACTAGTGTTTGCACACCATGTAGTCTACAGGAAAACTTTAAAAGCCTCTGCAGTGTAGGAACAGGCATGGCTAGGTGTTACCTGGACTGTAATGAGCTCAACAAGATGTTGGTATCTTTCAAATTAATCAGATTACTTACTAACAAGACAGCAAGAGCCACATTATTAACACGGATATCTTACCTACTGCAAAGTCTTTTAGTTCCTTTTATCAAGGGTATATGCCAGTGATTCTTAGACTTTAAAAAGTGACACATACTCTGAGGTGTTCGACATTTTCTCATTTTTATCTTGAAAACTGTCACCGATAAAATGTGAATGGGTATGGTTTCAAGGGGCTGACAGGAAATAACTGGTCTAGGAAGAAAAGTAAGGTAGGTAAGTGTTTTTCTGCTGCTTTTTGTCTGTAATAAGACATTACAGTAGAGTATTTGTGACCCTCAGATTTATTTATCGATACCCTCCCTTTGAGGGTACCAAGAGAGATACATTCATAGTCATACTGTGAACTGAACTGTTGCTGCTTTTGATTCTTTCAGGTTTGTCATCAAAGGAAGTCTGGCTGGAGCTGCTGTATACGTGGCATATGATCAGGGACTGCTGGGCAGTGGCACGCAAGGTGCTGAAGCTCTCAGAAAAGCTCAAGCAGCACTGCCTCCAGCCATCCAAGAGTGGACAAGTTACATAGGCTGGGAGGTAAGGACTGTGCAGATGAACACAGTCAGCAAAACAAACACAACCTCTGAATGAGGAGGAGAAAACATGGGTGTGATATTCTGTTTCCAGCAATGGTTGCAGTTTTGCTGTTGATACCCGATTTCACACTGAGAATATTTTGAAGCGGATTGAAATGGACGGAGGATAAAATTTTAAATTTAGGGGAAAGACATTGCTCACAGATGTTATTTCAAAGAAGAAGGGGTAACTAATACTATCCAGGGTCAAGGAAGGGATTGCAAGCATGCTCTGGGAGATATTTCACTATGTAGTGGTATTCCTAAGCTTCTTTTGAAGGATCCTACATGCTTTTGAAAAAAATATTGAAAAGATTCTCCTCCCAGTTTCTCAAGCTAACAGTTTTTCCAGTTGCATCTGAATTGCCCGAAGAGGTCCTTCTCTTTCAGTAATATTTAGTTTTTAAAATCCTCAGAATAAGAGAAGCCTTTGCTGAAAGTTTGAAAAGCATCTTTCATGTTAGAGACTATTCTAAATTAATATATAGCTGTAAGGCGACAGCCATGGAGGTGATTTTTCAGGAGCACCCAACAAGAAGTAGTACCTTCTGCCCCTTATGCTGCAGGAAAGAGTGAACTTTAAGCCTCATGTCTGGTCCCTTTTGAGATTTTGGGGTTGGACTAGATGATCTCCTGAGGTCCCTTCCAATCCCATATTCTGTGATTCTGTGAGAGAAGGCACCTAAGTATCTTTGAGATCTGAGGTCAAAAGGCTTTTCCAAGGTCATGTGAATCCCGTTACAAGTGAAACCCCTCATGCTGATATTTTGTCTCTCTTTCTCTTTCTAGCTACCACCCACTCCAAAATTTGACTTTTCCCCCTCTGATTCCTGGAATAAAGGTAAAATAACTTCTTACCAAACTATGAAAGGAGCAAGGGGCCAAGTGTGGTGTAGCTTATACAAGTCTTGTTTCAGTACTGTATTCCTAAATTGAATGATGGAGGAGGAGGTGGTAGGAGCTTTGGGAATAGTGATTTTGGACTCAATTTCTTGTTGTTCAAATTGTGAAATAAGGAGGAGGATGTGTGCCCATAAACCTGTCTGCCTTTTCTAACCAGAGGACTTGGTGTTTTGCCTATAAAGCTTGCTGCCCACAGACATACTGATGCTATACTAGAATCTAAGCTTGAAAGTTTCAGTGTAGTGTTTGGAGAGGCTTGTGGCACCCACAATAAATAGATAGATGTTTATGCATCAGTGAGTTCATCAGCAGTGGTAGTGATCAGGGAAACTAGAGCATGAAAACAAATGATGACTTATCCTTAAAAAAGGTGAACCATTCGTTAAAGACTGAAGAGTTTATAAACTCTTCAGATGCTAGTATATCTGAACTTGGCCTCTGACTTTTCAGGAAGGATAAGTATTCCCATTTTTGCTAGAATTTTGGAGATCTTGTTTGAAGGCTGAAGCATGTTATAAATACCTAGTAAGTTAATTTATAGTTTTTATGGTGCAGGAAGAAGTCTTCATGTAATTGTGGGGAAACATAGTCCACAAATACTGTGACATGTCCAACATCACCCATGGAGTCTGTGGCAAGGCCAAAAATAAAATGAAACTTAGCTCAGTCCTTTGTTTCAGCCTGTGATTGTCTGTCCCTTATACTGGTCCTGAAGTTGGAATTTCTCTGTGTCACAAATGCTACTGAAACAGTAAAGCTGTACTTGAATGAAAGATCATTCCAGCCTCAGCTTCTGAGATAGAGCTAGATTTTTCCGTCCGTGTTTAAAGAGATCTACAATTCTAGAATGACATTGGGAAATTTGGCTTGAATGATGCTCTTCTTGGGATAATTCTTTTCTGCTTTCCTTGCAGGAGTGCAGACAGTCATGTCTGCCTTGTCCGTAGCTCCCACCAGGGCCTGTGAATACACTGTGGAAGGCTGGAAGTATGTGAAAGATCTTGTCAAATGAACACATTCTCCAGGGTTCATGATTCTCTCTATCCTGTTGTCTTTGGGATGATGCATACTCCATCCCTCTAGGGGGCAGCTCAGCCATGGAAGGGCTACAATAAAAGACTTTGGAACTTCCATTTGTATTTGGGTTGGTTTTAGCAAATATTAGACTGCAATAATTGCTTTCTGTCTTGCCAGTGATCAGAGGATTCAGCAGAGATAGTGGATCAGTTGTAATGAAGTGATGGCTGAGGTACCATATGCTGAGGTATAGCCCCTGTTCTAAAGCTACCAAGCCTGCTAACTAAGCAGATTATTCTGAAGCTGAATTAATCATGAGTTCAAAACAAGCCAGCAAGAGTTAAAAATAAAAATTCCAGGATAACAGTAAAATATGTCATTCGAAGACAAAGCACTTGTCTTCAAGCTAGCTGAGGAAGGAGTGTCTTTGTCACACAGAGAGCATGTTATTGATGTGAAAGCTGCTTCCCAGTGGTCTGTGACTTGTCACACAACTGGGAGTAGTCAGTACTAGTTGCGGTACCTGTTGGTGACAGAGTGCAATATAAGGGAGTTTGTAAGTCTGTGATTCAGAAGTCTAGCAAGTCATAGAAACTTGTAACACCCCCCAGTCTATTCGGCCGATGGGCATTGCCAGTGTTCCTAGTACCCCAGATGGAACGGCAAAATCACACTACTGTTTAACTGTAATTTTTCCAGCAACTGATCCAAATATACCCTTCATGCATAGTCAATGACCAGAAGCACTGTCAAATTACACTTGTGTCTGAATTCTGAGTTCCACAGCATAGGTTATTTAGCGGCAAGACTTTAGATTTTAAATTTTACCAGCTGTTGGCTAAATCTAAGTGGATTCGGTTTGTCTCTTGACTTGAAAAAGTATTCTGTCTGCTGGCCTCTTTAAATGGTTGTAAAATAGGGTTGGAAATAATACCTTTAGGATACTGGCACCTCTGTGTGTAAATGTTTTGGCAACTGAGCAAGAGAGAAAATGGAAACGGGAAGGATCTCCAGTCACAGCTGAGGATCTAGGGAAGAGAACAAGCATGTAGCATGGCAAGTTTAGAAGTCAAGGTAGCTTATTAGCAGGACATCTACATTAATTCATTCCAAAAGACTTTTGATATATGTGTTCAGTTCTGCCGTGTGTTCCCCTCCCTCTTAAAGCATTAACAGAGTAGCTGGGAAGCAGTTTCCACCACTCCTACAACACTGTGACATTCTCTGTGTTGTGAACTGATAAGTTTGGTTTCCCTGAAATAGGCCGTGAACTACATCTGCTCTTAGTGCATGCTACGTTTTAACCTCTCCAGCTATGTCCAGGACATGAAAAGGCAGGAAGCAGAAGCAGCTAATTTTAGTGTTGATGAAAACTTTCCTGAGGTCAGTTTTCAGTCGCAGCCAAGGCATATATAAGGAGCACCAGGAGTATTGGATGGGTTGTTGTAAATACAGAACTTGTAACCTCTCTGTCTTCAGGTCTCTGTCCCAGAGCTGCTGCCTGTGCTTCTGAAATTAGGGACTGAGATGTCCCTGGCTGATGGCAGCAGGGGCAGTGTTTCTCCCACACTGATGTGCTCACACGTGGCGTTGTTCTAGCCTGTGTAGTTACAGAATAAGCCAAGAAGTTACAGGCAGGGGTAGGTAGGGAGAGAAAGATGAGAGAAGGATGAGTGCTTACTCAGATTAGGAAGCAGATTTAACACTCAAGAAGGAGGAAGGATTTGCGAGGGTTTTGTTTCCTTTTTTAAACAAATATTGATGTGGTGAAACTTACTGCCAAGAGATTTCAGAGGCTTTGGCTAAGGTATAAATAGCTTTAAAAAGTGCTTAAGTTAATTCCTGGAGGATGAGTCCATAAGTGGCTTTTAAACCTAATGGCCCAGATGGAAGCTACAGTTCAGTAGAACTTGGAGTACCAGACACAGAGAGTTTATTACCTGATGAATTGCTCTATATGCACACTGTTCCAACACATTTTTTCTCATGCACCTGCCTCTAAAAGAGAAAGAGTACTGAGTGGGAATGACTTTTTCCCAGTACATTTATTCTCCTCCTCTTATATCTCAGTGATAATATATACACTCAAAAAGGGACTGATCTTTTCATACAGTTGCTGGATTTAAGTCAAATGTTTTGCCAACTCTAGTTTGTGACCTAAAGAAATAACTGTGGGTAAGACACTGTGCTAATCAGATTCCTTGGCTGAGCAAAGTGGCAGTGTAGAAATTGACTTGTTAAAATAGTTCCTGTGCTGCAACTCACAGAACCGTTGAGCTTGGAAGAGTCCTTTCAAGATAATCTAGTTCAACCTCCATGCTTAAGCAAGGTCAACTGCATCAGGTTGTCCAGGACCATGTCTGGCCAGGTTTTGAACATCTTAAAAGATGCAGACTCCACAACCTCTCTATGACCTATACCAGTGTTTGACCACCCTCATGGTAAAAAAGTGATTTCTTCTGTTCAGCTCGCCCAGTATCTTTTCTCTTCCTGAACGTGGTGACACACTGGTGCCACTACACCAAACGCTTTGGAATATTTTTCTCGCAAAGAGTTAGCATTAGTGACTAGGTCTAAAAGCTCCCTAGTGCATTTTGTAGTTGTATACTCTATTTTTGCATAAATATGGAGTCCTCCTGTCTAATTTTTAGCTTTGTGCCTCATAGATGTTTTGTAATAATGACTTTCACAGTCACACTTTTTCTGTCACCACTTACCAAGCACTCTGGATATCTCCAGTGGACCTGTCACGCAGAAGAATAAAAGGTTTACATCTGCCAGCATTGTGGCACTGAGCAGGATTATGGGATGCTCCCATCCCACCTCCAAACTTACTTTACACGGTGATGGAAATTCAAGTTATTTACTAAAAAGAAGAGGACACTATGAACAAGAGAATACAGTTCTCTTGTACATCACCACTTGGTTAGGATCCTTGTTTGGCTTGCACAAATGCTTTGGTTGCCTTCTCAAGGCAAGAGACTTGGCATGAGGTGAACCTTCTCATTCTTGCGCTTCCTGCAGCATTGTCACTCCATCCCCACTCCATCAGCATCTTCAGTATGTTTATGAAGTAAACATGAATTATGGAGGATTTGTGCCATGTAACTATGGCAATGGATTAATTACACAGACTTCCAAAGTCAGTGAAAGCCTCCAAAGCAGGAACTGTTTCCCTTCACTGATGATAAAGAGAGGCTAAGCTTCTAGCACAGACACACTAGGCTGGCCTTTTAAGAGCTAGATGCTGCAAAATTTCCTCTACACTAACAGCACAGATGACTCAGAATGAGTTATACAATACCAGGTCAAACTTGAACCGTACACAACTGTTGGAGAGTTTTTTCCCTGTTTGGACTAAATCGTTAGGTGACTTAATTAGCTAACCGCAGTGAAGTCTCTCTTCCTTTGCAAAACACGCAGCTGCTGACATACTCTGTAAGAGCTACACTTCACATTGTTACAGCTTTCAGAGATCAGACAAACTAAGTAAAAGCTTTCTTACCTGGGCTATCAACTTAAGAGGCCACAAGAGCAGGGAACTGCTGGAGAGGGTACAGCAAAGGGCTACGAAGATGATGAGAGCATCTCTCTTATGAGGAAAGGCTGAGGGACTTAGGTCTTTTTAGTCTGGAGAAGACTAAGGGGGCATCTGATCAATGCTTATAAATACTTAAGGGGTGGGTGTCAAGAGGATGGGGCCAGTCCTTTTTCAGTGGTGCCCAGACAAGAGGTAACGGGCACAAACTTGAACACAGGGAGTTCCATCTAAATGTGAGGAGGAAATTTTTTGCTGTGAGGGTGGCTGCCCAGAGAGGTGGTAGAGTTTCCGTCTCTGGAGACATTCAAAACCTTCCTGGACATGTTCCTGTGCAACGGAACCTGCTCTGGCAATGGGACCTGCTCTGGCAGGGGGTTGGACTAGATGATCTCCAGAGGTCCCTTCCAACCCCATATAATTCTGTGATTCTGTAAGAGCAACAGTGAATAACACCAAACCAAAATGCTGAGGGATGAACACAGTAGGGGAAGCAGCTTACTCTGCAGCACTAGATCTTTCCTCACAGTGCACGGTTAAATTTGAAGCAGGCACATGCTCAAGATCTTGTTTGCATACTCATTAGCATCTAACATTCTCCATCTGCAGGCCAGGTATGGATTTCATGTGTGAGCTTGGAATTGCTGGGCGATTACCATTAGCCGTAGTGCTTTGAATGCTAAAACACACCTGGCTTTTGCATCTCAGTCAGGACGATTATGCTATCATCTCCTTTAAATGCAATTAGTTTGCTTTTGTCATCACAGAGCTTGCATGCTTCACTTGGTTTCATTTTAAGAACCAGAGAGGTTGGGACTGGTCTAGAAGTTTTCCTTCTGTTGCTGAGACTTCCAACAGGTTTGCAGAGTCAGTAAGGTTAATGAGTAAGGCAGGCATAAGCAGTATGAAAATAACTTGTTTGGTCTAGCCAGACCCACAGAATTTTTATTTAGATGCTATTAAGTGTAGCATTCTGGAAATCTATCCTTTCTCCTTGCATTCCTAGTTTGTGTTCTCTAACAAGTGACTCAAGTCTTTCTGGACCTTAGCTTCAACATTAAAACAAAAACTAACTTTTACACTGGGGTTGATGTCTCTGTGATCCAGGCAGCCTCAGGCAACTATTTGCTGCAATCAAAGCAACTTTTTAGAATTTGCAGTTTGTCCACGGGAATCCTCCTCCAGTGTGGGAAGTCTCAATCCTGATGAAAATACCCATTACTTTCCATAACAATACAGGCTATAGGAAATCAATGAAAAAAAAAAAAAAGGTCTCTAGGCAACTGAGGAAAAAAAACTCTGGATTTTCTCCTCTGGAAGATGGAAAACCAGGACTTTTTCCTCTTGGCATCACAAGCGCCATCTTTGGTGGGTAACACTAAGGACATGTGCTCCAGAGATGACTGCAAAAAGACAAATTATAATTTAGATATGACAAAGTGGCAGATCGTTTGCATCAATATTGGTTAGCTCTTGACACATTCTTAAAATGATGCCAAAGCACAACCAACAACTGTTTCTAATGTACTTCAAGGAAATTGGGGATTTGTAGGTAAAATTACTGGCATAAAACTGGTG